ACTGAATCTAATACAGCAAATGAATTATCAGTACTCATGCAGTCTAACGAGTTATCCTGAACTACGTAAATACCATATAAGTACCAAAAAATGAATCAAACGCAGATAGTTGCGCAACAAACAATGTAGATTTTGGTCCCCACCAAGCTTGTAACCAAGCCTACGAGATAGCCTTTATTATCATCTTCATTCAAACTATTTAGATGAATGATGACAGGTTGAAAAACAAGAAAAACACCGAGTCTAAACGTTCCCATTTTTATTTTTATTTTAACGCCTCGCGATTTAATAAGGTTCTCAGGCGTACCAATATTTATTCACAAATGTCCGCATTTGCTGTGATCAATGTGAGAAATGATTTTATTATTTTATTATTGGAGTGATTTGGGTTATCTTTTCGTGCACTATCACCAGCTTTCCGCGAACCGCACGGGCCTGAAGCCTTCTGAATGCCTCCGGTACATTACTAAACGGGTAGGTGGAATCCACAATAACCTGAATTCGGCCATCAGCCAGCCAGGAGAGCATTTTTGCCAGGCGAAAAGAGTCCGGTCGGAAAAATGCCCACCTCACGGAGCCTGGAATGCATGAACGTCGTTTTTTACGTTCACTGCCCGGAATGGAGCCCACGTCCACGGTAGACAGGCACTTGTTCCATGAAAAGGAGGCCAAGTTTGACATGCCAAGAGCAAGCAGAGAATGGGCCAGCCCGAATGGCAAGCCCCAGCGATCAAGAGAACTCAATAAAGGTGGATTCAAGTCAACGTAGCGCGACTTCGAGGCCGACTCATTGGATAGGTAGTCAATAAACTGATAAACTGGGAGGCCATCGGTAGATTGAGGTAAAGAGGTCTTGCGAGTGCAGTCGAGAATCAAATTATATCGATCGGAGATCGGAGGTGTGTCTGGATGAAAGACGACCTATAGAATAAAAAAATACAGAAAGGTGCGTTCCTCTAGGTCTTCCTGCAAATATGATCAAGTTGCGAAAACAAGGTCAAACAACTACTTAAATAATATATAGAAATCTTTGTGAAGATTCAAGGAATTCACCTCAGACTACACTAATAAAGAAAATAGTGATAGTTTCTTCTTTAAATTTACTGGTGAAATTCATTTTAAAAATAGGTTATTATAATTAGCTATAGATTCATTTATAAAAACTGAAACTAATAGTATTAGAAAGTAAATGCTTCATCCTCTAATTAAACAGACAAAAAATACGCCGAGCTTATGTTAAATCAGTGAAATGCTGTACTATTTTACATCAACTTGTCAAGGCTGTCACCAGCGCAATAGGGCAAGGATAATTTCGACAAGATTTTCCTGCTGCCTAGGACCTGCATATACCACTCAACATCTAGATGCTGTGGAACCTCTCTAAACTTGAGAAATGACATAATGGTTAATGGTGTGCCTTAAAGGTGCAGCCAAAAATAAAATATGAACTTGACGCTGCTGCAACGGCCTTTGCACAACAGAACATCACAAAAAAATAAAATGTATTGTCTTTCTACTACTGAGGAAAGGTCAGCGCGCTCTACGATCTAAAGGTTATAATTGTATAGAAGATTATTTGGGCAACATAGGGTTGACACACAGATAGGTAATGAAAAAAGAGATGGATAGAAAGAACTTCTGGGAGTGCCAATGCAGATAATCAAATTATTGATAAGTGTTGCATCAAGTAATGTTTGTGCTGATTAGTGCATATTTAACGTCGTGGATAAAAAATGGAGGCCATAAAACATCAGAGGTATCTGAATTTTTAACAAAAAATTCGTTAAGATTAAAGTAAGCTTGAAGAAAATAATATGAAAAACAAAGCAGAATAGCTCATCATCATTTAGTACACGGCAAGTACAGTTTTGCGCAGGCAGAACAGTATTCTAAGGCATAAGTCAAAGAAGTGACTGAGGTATAATTAGAATAAATCTTGCAAAAGGCAAAACAGAGAAATGTATATAAAAAAGTAACTAGCTTACGATTAACTTTCTTATCTATGAGCTGTAATCAAGCTATACTGATAGCTGCAATACCTACTTGATACGAATATTCTCGATATATTCTATATATTCTCGATATGAGCAGGTTGAACTCACCAGAAGATGGCAGCAGATTCCTCTTTGTCCGTAATTCTAATTTACCAGGTTCCAGCAGAGAGCATTTCTTACCACTCCTTACTTTGATACTAGTGTAAATGTTTTAGTATTCGTCTTCTCACTAACGGATAAAATAAAAACTGGATCTCATTAATAGAATAATTCAAGACTAATACCGAGTAAAGAAAACTAACCGATTCACCTCAATGTCAAAAATAGCCCCTATGGAAATCAATTTTTAAGAGACATATAGCAATTTAATTAA